CTAGACACCCACATGTTACATGAGGAAAGTTTTTTCAGCTAACAGTGTGTAAAGGTTTCAGTCCATAATTGGGTGGCTTTAAGGCAGTATTTCATGACAGAAGGGCATTGCAGCAGAGAAATAATTCATGGCATGGCAGGCAGAAGGCAGCAAGCAGCAAGCCTATCTTCTCCCCTCCATTTATATTCTATCCAAGCTATAAACCTATTGATTGGTGCTACCCACACAGAGGACAGGGTTTCCATTAACTATGTTAATTCCTATCAGGGGACTAATATGGTACCATACACCCTTAATCCCACTATCACAAGCTTTAGATAAGACATGGTGAACCTTTTAGAGCTCTGAATGATACAAAGAGCCCACTGTGGTATACATGCCATAGGTTTGCCACCGTTACCCTAGGTCCAGCCAGCTGTAAAAAGTCACACCCATGACCACATAAGGCTTTGGTGGACATCTAGATAATAAGCAATAACACAGCTCAATAATATAAGGATGTCTAAAACATAACACGAGTACAAAGAATGGTGTAAAGTTAACTGTGTGAGAAGGTGTATGTGATTAAAAACAGAACAGAAAATGGGACTGCTAAACTGGATTTTAAGAAACATGTCAAAATTCTGCGATAGAAGAAAAGGAAGAACAGGGTAGACAGGCATCCAGGGAGAACTACTGGAATTGATGGTAAAGAGATCAGTATGCAGTAAAGTCACTGCAAACTGACAGCACAAAATAGGCATAATCATCCATCCATCCAATTATTCATATACTCCATTAACAAGTATTAGTACCCACAAATTCTAGGATATGTGTCAGGCTCTGAACAACAGAGATAAAGTCACTGCCTTGAAAGAAACTTCCTAATCTACTACAAACTTCTCTACTGGGAAATGTAAATATGTTGGCAATGCATGGTAATCTAGTCAGATGGATGTGAGCCCGATACCTGGCCAAGAGAGTATGTACATTCACGTTAGGGTAGGGAGTCAGAGAAAGCTTCCAAAGTGGCAAGAATGAATGGGGCAAGGGTGACTGGCTACTCCATCAGTGGCAGGGAAACAAAGATAATGAAGTGCAAAAATAAAAAAATAAGAATAATAAATGAGAGAGATCTTCAGAGGAGGAAATATGAGTAGAGAATTGGATACTCTGTTTCTTTTCAGATGACATAAGTACCAAGAGATGAAGCCATGAAACAAAGAAACAAAAATGGTTCTTTAAACCCATGTTAACCTGGAACCAATATCCATAGAAGCAATTCTGGTGAAAGGTTAAAAGAATTAGCAGTTTTCCAGAAGGCTCAGTGATTTCAGAAGAAAAGTGCTATTAAAGTTAGGAATAGGATTAATCCAGGGAAGAGTCTGACCTTAAACTTGAAGAGAATCTGAAATAGTATAAAAAGAATGAGACACCTAAGAAGATTCAAAAAATATAATCAATTGATATTTGTTGAATTATCATTTGTTTAGCAATTCCAATTGCTACCTCATTTGCTTACAAAATAAATTTCATCCAAAGTTCAAACACATTAATATCTTTTCATTTTTTTCTTTGCTTATCTCTTCCTACTTTTCCTTTATTCTTTTCTTTCTTCCCCCTTTCCTCATTTATTTTTATCTAAAAGCTAGTTACGCAGTTTTTTCTCTTAATAGTTACATTTTCTGGACTATAAAAATATTCTAGATTATGAAAATCAGTTTAGTATTGTCTCATTTTACATAACCTAGTTAGAATGTTTATTCAGTAATGTCACTTTTATTTTCTTATATACTTCTATTAGCTCCTGGTAAAAAAAGAAACAGGAAAGAAACAGGACTGAACTGTTTACAATATTATAATATTAAGTAAATTTGCATGAAATGTATCAAATGTAGCATTTCCAAATCAGGTTGCTGTGACACATTTTCTGTTACTAATTCCTTTGAGTCTCTAGGCAGACAAGCCTGCTGGCTGGTAGTTGTAGGCCCTCAGCAAAGAGGTAACCCTGCTAGACTTCAAAAAAGTTAAGAAGTACAGAAATAAAGCACTAGTCATATAGCACCTATTTTCCTACTGCTGGTTTTTATGAGGTCCAAATCCTGAGATTGTCTTTATGAGTTTATTAAACAATTTTATTCCCATTTTTAATTAATCTTAATGCTTTATTATTATTGATTCTGTTCTTTATGGAAAGCAAATCACAATAATGCTTAAGCTGAACCTGTTTGGCTGTTTTTAGAAACAACTTTGCAACAGTTCTGTTTCAGAAAATAAAGCTGTTTTCAAGTTTTAAAGCACTGGTTAGGTTAAATCAAAGTGTTTACACTTGGCACAAATGGGTATAGAGATAAATAATAGGAATGATTCAATGCCAAGAACCAAGTTAAAGAAAATTACAAACTTGTATCACAGCATAATGAAGATAAAAGAATTCAACCCACTGAAAGGTTTTATCATTCATTTATTTGTTTACTAATTCAATAAAACATTGTGAAACTACAAGGTGAAAGCCCGGGGAGAATATAAAAAGTTTCTCCAATAATATAAAAGTATCATTAATTTGGATGACTACGGACATATGTGTTAAGTACCACCAGCAGCTTGAAATCTGGCTCTCATCCTGAAATAAAAATGTTCAAGCCAAATTATGCAGCTTTCCTGATTTAGTGAAAACAGAAGACAAAAGTAAAAGGGTCTGGAAGATAGGGAGACTTCTAAACCAGTATTTAAGAACCTCCCATTTGATGTACTAGTGATTTCATGTAGCAGCTAAAGAGAAGTTTCAGCCCCTTGATGTCTGTGGTTATAAATAAGAGGAAATAAAGATGTCTCAAATGCATAGTTTTGTGGTTTAAGAGGCCAGCAAAGTGAACTTCTCTCTTGAAGAACAATCTTTCTTTTTTTCATTAACCCTATAAGTAAACAATTTTAGACCTTATCAGAAATCTCAGTTTTCAAAAAAGTAGTACTATAAACAGTTTATTCTACAAATTTCTTACATTTTATGAGAATGTTTATTTTGAAGCTTACCAAGCTTACCAACCATCTGCTCTAGGCTTACAGTAGTAATACAAATGCAAACCCACCCATTCTTTCTCTGAAACTTGTCAAGCCCTTTCTGCTTATCATATTGCACAAATATTTAATTAGTTTTCGTCTATTCTAATTCAGATGAAGACATGAGGGTGAATTTTATTTTTTAAATTTCATATTTATGAATGGATAGAGGAACATTACAAACAGCTAGGAGATTTCTAGAACACAGAATGCATGTTAATGGAAATATTTCCTCTTTTAGTTTCCCAAAATCAGTCAGAAGTGACAAATAGGCTTTTGTTTTCTTTTTCTGGTACCGGGAATCAAACTCAGGACCTTGCAAACTCAGGCCTGATACCACTGAGCTAAATTCCCGGCCAGACTTTGATATTTTTGAAATAAAAAAATTATGTACATATTAAAACATGTATTACTCTACGGAAGTATAATGTAGGCATGTTGGTAACTCTAAATATGGCACTTTGTAACAAAAACACAAAATAAAATCAGTGTTACATGATGTTCAGCAGTGTCAAAACACTGTAACTTTCAAAACTATATGCCAACATTCTGTATGCCTAATTTTATCAGTTATGAAATATAAACTTTTAAGCTGAGAATTAAAATAGTAATCTAGGTAGGACATCATTCTTTCTCCTTACTGTTTGTCCAAAATGTTGGCAACATTCAGGAATATCCTCAGGGTGCTTTCTCATTAATGGGACCCTGAAAAGGTTACTGAGAAAATTACCTGCCTCTTGATACCCAATTGATCACCTGAAAGATTTGTCATAAAAGTCTTATAAATCTTTTACAAATTATTCTGACTTTAAATATACAATTTCTATTATTTACCAAGCTCACCAGAATTTGTGTCTTTGTGGGATGTATTGGAAAGCAACTTTACCTAGATTTTACGATGTAATTATTTTTATGACATTTCATCATTAAGAAAATTAATTTGTTTACCCCTAATGGTTTTGTGCAATCACCAAAAAAGGGGGAGTTGTTGTGGCTTGTGTCTGATATTACCGCAAAGCCTCATGCTGTCTTTTTTGAAGGTAGCTAAATCTGGAATGTGTAATGCTAGGATGAAGGGCATGTGATTACTAAACCACTACAAGTGAGTGAGTGGTTTAGCACCACCCTAATCCTAGTAGTCTGAAGAAGATAAAAGGGGCAGAAAGACACTGTTAAGATTTCTTGTTACTTTTGCTACCTTGTATGCATCAAGTTGTTTCTCCTCACCAAGGCCTGTTTGCCGTCCAGGCCTTGGAGCCAAACCATTATGCACTGAAAACTTTACAAACTGACGTTTGTAAACCTCTATATGCTCTTTCCTCTTTAACTTTGGGTGTCAGGTATTTTGCCTCAGCAATGAGAGAAAAGTAACTAACACAGGGGATGACCAAGGTGCTAAGACCTTCTTGTACTTCTAGTTCAAATCTCAAAACAAGCTTCACATACTACCTCCTTTAGGAAGCAGTGCCTGATTTCTGCAATATCAAAGCTATTACTTTGCTCTCCGGATTATCAGAACAATTTATTTGTGCCATTTTTATATTTTATATTGCCTTCTAGCTTTAATGTTGTATATACAGACTTAGGTGTATGCTAAATTATAAGAAGTTACAAGCTTATGTGTATCTAATGAGACCTTTCCTTCTGTATATAGCACAGAATGCTTCTGATACTGTACCTTATCTCCGCTTATCCAAACAAGCTGACTCAGTGAATTCTCTTAAAAATAGTTAACAGTATACTTTGACATTTACTTTATAGTAAAATAACCTTTCCATTTTTGAGGCATAATTTTTGACGGGTGCACCAGAAAAACTACCAATTAATTAAATCAGTCAAGAATACTCAAATACTTTCTCAATATACTCAATAAAACCTATACCATAAGCAACTGGAGGCAGGGCTACATCACCCTTGAAAGATGGATCCAAATGGAGGAAAAAAAAAGTATTTTTACTTACTTGTCACCAAAAAACTTTCTCCAGAATTCAGCAGCATCTGCTTTTGTAATACGAAAGTTATCTCCTTGGAACTGGCCAGCAGGAAAGATTGCTTTGATTTCTGCCAGCATGTGACTGAAGATGAGGGATAGTTTTGTGAGCTTCCGCCTATAGACACAAGAGGAAAAAATTAATATGTATGAATGTAAGTTTTAATGGGAATCTACATTAAGACGAATTATGTATACAGCAAACTAGATCCTGGTGACTGATCATTAATCTTTTTAATCATACTCATGAAAATAATGTTCAGAGAGAGCACTATGCATTTAAATTCCTAATGAGCTTTTACTTTATTATTTATCCATGCATTAATTTCCATGAGCATGAACAACATAAATTACATGATTTTATAGAGCTCACAGTTTAATGGGAGAGATGAACACTTAAAGAGAAAACATAATCAAATATAAATGCAAAACAAAAAAGGTAAAATGACTTTCTGCCTGGGGAAGTAAGGAATTCTGTCATTAAACAATGTAGAAAGACAATTAGTTGTTTGACAGATGAAGACCTGGAACTGAGAGGAGGGGATGGAAGTTAGAGGCAATAAAGTTTTTCTCTGGCATTATATAAAAAGTATATAGGTAGGAAACAGAACTACAGATTTGTGTAATACTTGTGTTTTGCATGACTATACTAGAACAAAAAGAACAGGAAAAAAGTAACACGAGACAGAATCTTGGCTTGGAAATGCCATAAAAAGGCATCTGAACTAAAAAGCAAACATTTTGTCAAATACACTTACTATTCCTACTTAAAAATCAGGTATTCTGAAGACATAGTCCAGATGTGTGCTTATTTTTAAAGCTAGAAGGGTAATTCTAATAGATTACCCTTGTTAAGAAGTATAAGAAATGTGAGCTGAAATGGATTAATAAAGACTAAAGGCATGATGATATCCCTATTTTAGAAGAAAAGTTCTAACGTCATACAAAAGTGGGTCAGAAAACAGGGAAATGCAGCTATCACCTTCATTTTAAAAGCCATGTTTCTGGAATTCTGACATAGGTTAAAATGTTTCACCTTGCAAAACAATACTATAACCTACAATCATTCTACCTTTTCTTAAGTTTATGATATTAATTACATCAATCTGCCACACACTGTTGATTCTAGATAATAAAGAAGTACAACACAAAATATTAAAAGAATTTTTCAGGTTTAAACTGGACTTGCTTTTTTTAATATTTACATTTACTCAGAGTCACTACAAGTCAATACGCGCATGTGCATGTTTGTTGTTTTGCAGCTTGGGACAGAGACGAATGTTTTAGGACTCAAAAGAAAATTAACACAGATAAAATTAACGTATCAAACTACATAAGGTTTCAACATGTCACTGTAATTGAAAGCTATTGTTCTGTGTTGCATTTCACTAATGTATGTGTTTAATGACTCAATAAACAAAAATACATGTTTGGTACTAGTTACGTGATAGGTACCTTGTCAATATAATCAATGAGTGTAACTCTTTATAATAAGGTTCTTTTTACAAAAGAAACATAAAAATTCCTATATAAAAATACAGAATAAGGATATTATTAAAAAGTGGTAAAGTAAATAAGAGAAAATAATAAAGTACAAATTCTATAATTTTATCTTTATTACATTTACTGGTACATATTAGGTATACAATACAGTTACATTCATCATTGGGATCTTGTACGCTGTCATGACTTAGCAGGTTATTTTTCCCCATTCCCCAGCCCTCCTCTCAGCCCCTCCACCCTTCCCCACTTACAAAGACACTGTTTCCATGTTTTCCTTTTCACATATTTTTTTCTTTTCCCTCTTTTCCTTTCCCCTACCCCTCCCACTTTCTCTACTCTTTTAGATTTTTCTTCCTATTACACAATATCAATTATACATTTTAATCCTTATTTACACTTTTACTTTGTCACACCAGAGAAACTACTTGGTATTTACATATGTGTAACTTATTAATTTCATTTCACTTATTTTAATAAATGCATGATTATAAAAATGAAAATATCAGCTAACTCTATAACTTGTATTACCTACAAGATGATACTTTTTAAAGGGGGTCAATGCAAACTTTATTTGAATGCTTGAGTGATGAAAACACAGCAAATTCATCACAGTTATACACAAACACTCCATCATTTTCTTAGCACCAGGAATATGTAAGCACAATTCAGTCTAATCCAAGAGTAAATCTTTCGTTGATCAGTTGAACCTTTGATAGTGGCTTGATTTTCTCATTTAGGTGCAACAGAAATAAGGTATTTGGCTCTAAGAAATAAAAAGTAAACTAGTTCACTTTACCAAAGGAAAGACCTGTGACCAATATAAACTGCAACTAACTTTTAAGATTACAGTTTAAGGAAAACATACAGTCACCTTAAAAGATCTGTAAAGAATTTATTCCCATAATTAACAGTTAATTTTCCATCAAACTTTGAATTGGTAATAAGAAAAGAAAAAAGAAACATCAAGATGTTTCCAATTAGAGTAAACCAACTGTTTCTTATTTTCTGAATTGGTAACTCTCCATCCCGTTGTTTCTTTGTACTTAAACCATATCCAAATGTTTTTAATTTTTACTTGTTAGACCTAAGGTCTGAAGCACAAAGCCAATGATACCCATTTTGAATAGTTTATCTAGTGGCTGTACAGATACTTATGTTTAAAATTGAAATAGTAACATTTTATAATTTAGATCCTAAAAGTGCTCATAATCATAGCTAAGCACCGGTTAATTGCAATATGTGCATATAATTACATTTTCTTGTTCCTGCAAATATATCACCATATTTTTATTAACTTTTTGCATAAATTAAGCCATTGAAAATACATATTTTGCCTTTAGTCTAAAAGAAACCCCATTCATTTCATTAAAAATATTTGAATGTATCAGTTTCATATTACTTTTTCAAAGTATACCAGGATATATTTTATTTGTGATTCTTTTTATATTTACACTCACAAATACACATACTTTGTATATATTTATGTAAATTATTCTAGGAAGACAATGATTAATGGAGGTCATAATCCATGCTAAGATAATAAAAGACATGCTAAGATAATAAATCTAATAACTTATGCCAATTAAATTTATTATCACAGCCAATAAGCTTTCTTTTTTCTATGATCCTGTGATATATTTTGGATTCTACATTTTGATAGGATGTATGTGCTTTAACATACATCTGTACATTACAGATCCATTTTGTTAAAAAAAATGAACTCCAATTTGAAAACAAAATCCAAGGATATACTTATATCTAATTATATAGACATAGGGGAAAAGGAACAATTACACATGTTCTTTATCGATGAAACAAACGCCTTTACCTATTGTGCAATTTTCCATACTTAGCCAATATTCCCTAAACCCAACTGATTTCTCATCATATGAGAAATGATGACTATTTAAAAAAGGATTCAGTGCTTACTAATTAAGAATATGTTCATCAGTAAAACTTTCCTATTTAAAACAAATGAAAAAAATCAAAATCTGTCCACAAAGATTCCGTAATGTTAATTATTTCATCTTAATGAAATTATCATATATTATGGTACAAAATGACATGATGAGATTATTATACTACATTGTGGAGGGGGAAGTGTACCTAATTGTACACATCATGATTTGTTAAATTTGAAAAATTAATTTAAAAAAATAAGATTTGCTTGGAAGCCACCATTAGATTTAAAACATAATAAAGAATGTAATCGACTTACTATAGATTGTGTGGCCCACATCTGAGAAACAGCTATGTCACAAATTACAAAGGAATTTAAATGCTCACGATAAGTTAGGGAAAAACTTTATGTGACACTTGATTTTAATGAGCTCTAAAGCTTGTGAGAAAATATTGTTTTGCTTTTGGAAGAAGAAATGTGGGTTCATTTTTTATTCAGACACCATTAATATTTCAACTCATTTAAAAGCTAGAACATACTCTTCTTAATCTTTACAAGATGAAACAAATTCAACATAAGACAAAAGGCAGGATGTAAAAATATAAACCCTGGCATTTACAATGAGACATCCAGCAGAAGAGCAATTTCGACTGTACCTCTGATGTAGTGCCCGCCAAGAGCGGTTTAGAGAGTTGTATCAGTTTTTTACCTGGAGAACATTTTGAATCCCAAATGAGGAGATTAAGCTGATGTAAAGCTTGCTTTTCAGTTCTCCTTCATGAGGGTGGTCTATTTTTAAGACAGATCCAGATCCAGACAGTCTTAAATAAAACTACACTTTGATCATATATATAAACCCCCCCCTGCTCAAATACTTTAAACTTTTGAATACCTTTAACGCGAGTGAAAAAGTCACCTACTGGGCTATAAGTATATCTTAGGAGTACAGCACTTACCTGGCTGAGTTCCATCCCTAGCATTGAAGAAAAAAAGAAAAGAAAGAAAAAGAAGGAAAGGCAGTAAAGAAGGGGAGTGGAGGGGAGTGAGGAGCGGAGAGAAAAGAGGGACAGAGGGACAGAGGCAGACCAAATACACTGAGGACTCAGAGTTAATCCCAAAGCCACAAAACAAGCCAGGAGTACTCAATCATTACTGAAACATAAGCCACAGGACAATCTTCAATCTACTTCATTCTACTTCTGGAAAATTAAACTTAAAAAGGAACTTGGTACACTAAGTCAGTCTAATACTGCATAAGCAATGGGAGGTCTTACATTTCCCTCATATATATGATCTACCACTAACATGGCAAGGAAGAAATGAGCAAAATTTTAGTGGCAAACAATGAATGGTGGGCATCCTTTGACCAAAAAATGTTTAATAATTTCTGAGGCCATTAAAATATTTTTAATACTTAATAAGAAACAATTCCTGACCCCCAAATAGTACTAATAAAATATAGGTAACAGTAGTATAAACAAAGAGTTTGTAGAAACTTTGTATGTTAAGACTTCAAGTTTCTAAATCTTGGCAAAATGAATTTTTTTTATCAAAAACTGCTCAAAAACTGCTCTAATTCAGAAAAAACATTTGCCTTGTGGGCTCTGAGATCTTTCTTTTGTCTATCATTTTTTTTTCTTTCTTCATGCATGGAAAAATCAGAATATCAGTAAGACAAAGGAAACAAATACTCTATTCCTCATGCATAGTTTGCA